CTGCAGGAAGGGTGGGTGGCCCGAGCCAGCAAACAGGCCGGGCTTGGGCACCCGCAGTAGCACAGGCCTGGATCCGCAAGGTGGGACAAGCAACCCGCACTGCTGGGGCTGTGCTGACTGCAGCACTGGAGCGTGCACATGCTTCACACACTCACAAATACTCAGCCACCGGAGAGAATCCGCCCCCTGCCATCCCAGGAATGCAAACAGGAAGGGTGTCTGATGGGGCCGGGGTGTGTTTACAGGTTCCTCCCAGCCTTAATAACACCTCGGCAGCACAGGAGTGGCCAGCAGCTGCCCTCCACCCAGACACCGAGGAGGGGTAGGTGTGGGAAACCAGAGACGCCCGTGGGAGAGCCACTGGAGTACCAGTGGGGCCCACCCATGGCTGTGCCACACCAGTGGCCTGACACTCAGATGCTAGGTGTGGAGCCCAGGGGCAAAGTGGCTTGAGGGCGTGAGACAGCCCCAGGGCCTTGAGGGCCTGTCAGAATGAGCCCTCCTCGAGAGGTTCCAACCTTTCTGCTGCCCTGAGCAAGGTGGACAGGCCAGTCCTGGACACATGAGATCTCAGCAGATGCACCTGGAAGGTGTCTGACCTCCCGAAGCTATTCCAAGCATGACTGCAGCAGCAAGCAGGAAGTTGCCTGGGCTCTTCAGAAGAAAGGCACTACTGACATGGGAAGAATTCTCCTGGGCTCCTGAGATGCAGGCTGGGCCAGGCACGAGTCGGACTGTGCACATTCACAGAGGAGACGGCTCCCTGCGGGACGAATCCACTCCTGCAGCCCGGCTGGGCCCTGACTCCGCTGTCACTCAGGGCCTCCCTGCCAGGCTTGGCACGGGCTGGCTCAACAGTACATTCGGAGCGGGCTCGGGGAAAGAGAATTCCAGCCTGAGCCACAGTGCTCAGGGGCAATGTCAATTCACTTCCACCTAATAACGCTGCAGGATCAGCAGGCACACACACGTGCTCATTACCAAGTCTAATTAGGCTGGCAGACAAGTGGCATTAATCATTTTTGACTGTACCTGGGATTCAAGCCCCCCATACTCCATAATCAGATAATTTCACGCTCTGATGAATAGGGGGAGAAACGAAGCCCACATTTAATCCTTTTCACTTTCATCTTCTGAGAAGACAGGAACTGGGAGAGGAAAACACAGGGGGTGCAGCTTGAGGGGCTCCAAAGGCCTCTGGAAAGTGTTCTATGTGCCCTAAAACGCCTCCCCGTGGGACCTTCCCCGTTAGAGCCAGGGAGAGGGAAAGACTGGGGTGGGGGACTCTATCTACAACAACAAAGCGTCCGTTTTAGGGCTCAATTTTCCCAGCCTCCAAAAACCTGGGTGTAAATCAACAAAAGTACAAGCCACACACTTCAGTACTGCGTGAGCTGAACAAATGCCTTCCAAGTGCCCAAGGCAAACAAAGGGCACTTTCCGAGATGCCTGGGTGAAGGCCTTTCTCTGCTGCAGGCAGAGTAGAGTCAGCACCCCAGTGGTCTATGTGAGTGAAGAACCCACAGGAGGGCGTGGGCCCGCGGGGTCACTGGGCATCACACGGGTGCTTCCAGCCCTCAGAATCAAGCTAAACGCAGCCACTGCTGCAGAGGCGAGAGCTAGAGGTCAGAGGCCGGCCATGCTCCGTAAGAAAAGTCTCCATGGCAAGCACCACAACTACAGTCTGCCCTGGGCAGGGGAAGTGAGGGTGATGAGCCCCAGAGCCCCCTGTCAACCCCATCACTCAACACCCCACCCCCAACCTCCCCTGAGATACTCCGGGTCCAGGAACAGAGGCCGGTGAGGCTCGCTCACCAACAAGGTGCAGGGAGACCTCGGTGGATCCTCCCCGAGTCCATGCGCCGGAACTAGGTTTCTCCAACAGCCAGACCATTTGCTGGTTGAGCACAGCTCACACATCCACCACCAACAGAAAGAAAGGCCCCTTCTGTGAGCCTTCTACAGAAGGGACAGTCCCTGAGAATGGGGCCAAAGGGCAGCGGGTGAGTTTCTCAGGTTATTTGCTTCTGACCATTCCTTCCAGCAGTGACCACCATTCGCACCCAAAACACAAAGGTGCACTCACACAACCTCCCCCTCTCGTCTTTCTTTCTATACCTTTCCACCAGCCCTCGCCAGATTTCCTTCTCTAACCAGCAGGATTTCTTGAATTCTGAGAATTGTATTAATTCTGAACTTCGCTGTTAGCAAATTCAGCATTAACCAGAGCCCAGTTACAGACCTTGAAGTAGGGGAAACTTAAGTTAGGCAGGCAGAAGGTGCACAGGCAATTAATTCTCGAAAGCCTTTCATTTATAGGAAGCCCAGTTGCCAACATGGCTCCCACCCAGTGTCAGTCTCCCATGCAGACAGATGTCATGTATGTGCCCACTGCCCTTTCCAAGAACAGGGAGATTTAATAATACAAACAAGCCACCACCTTCAGCTACCACTCACTGAAGCGGGGCCTGGCACTGTGCTGGGTGTAGCCAATACAGAGAAGCGGCCGCTGTCTCTGTGAGTCCCTCAGCCAGGCAGAGAAGGGTCTCAGCCCCTGGCATTTGGTGAGGATGCTGCAGCCGCCGCAGGACGCTGGGCAGGTGTCCAGCGCTAGAGGTCACTTACTACCCGAACGTCCTGGGTGTCCGAGGCTTTGCCCCTGACTTTGCCACTGAGCACAGCAACCAGGCAGTCAGAAAGTGGCGCTGCTCGGAAAAGCGATCTCCGGAGGCATCGTGAGCCTGCCCTAGCACCGAATTCATTCGTACTGCATTCTCCCAGGCGCTACTCAAAGTGCTTTACACCCACGAATCAGTCCATTTCATTCTCACATGAACATGACGAAGCAGGCAAGATTATTATCCCCACTTTTTAAGCAAGGAAATGGAACACAGAGATGCAGGGTCACACAGAGAGTAAGTGACCGTCAGGACTTGAACTCGGGACTCTGGCTCTGGACTTCACTCTCATCAACACACAGTATTGTCTCTTACAGGTGCATTTCAAAGTGAAGACAAACAAATCAACCCCATCATGGAACTAGACCTTCAACCTCGAGCAAGATGCTCAACCCTACCAGCTGAACTCGCCCATCAGAATATTTCTCAACTCCTCCCAGCCAGTCACAGGCTCCCAATTAGTTAAGTATTAATAGCAACAAACAGAAACTCCTCTCTGTAGCCCCTTGATTCCAGCTCTGCTTCCTCTCTGGCCTTCAGGCATTCCCTATAACACACAGTTGGTGTTTAATCAACTATGTGGGGGGCATGGGAGCCCAAGAAATCAGAAAGACTTCACCAGTCACACACAGTCACAGGTACCTGTCTTCCTGCCACGAGCAGCAAAGGCTCAAGCCAGGGGAAAAGAGAGTTCTAACACGATGTGAGGGTTAAGCAGGGAAGCAATTCTAACATGATGTGAAAATACCTTAATGTAATCCCCGTGTGTCACAGGGATGCACATACAAATACATCATGGTAATCAAACAACAATCATAAAACTATGTGCAAAATGTCAACAATCAGTATGGTCCCCAAAAGTCTAAGTAAGTACAGACAAGAATGCCACTGAAGCAGATTTCTTGGGATTCTCGGACCATAAAACCCATTACAGCGAGGATCCTGCCTCACTCCCTGAGCAGTAAAACGCCCCCAGGACCTTGAGAGGTGACAGCTGCCAGTGTATCTGGGTTGCATTTGATTTTTCAGTTGGGTCAGAGGCACTGAGCATGTGACAGCCACCCTTCCACACCCGGCACACACCTCTCCACAGCTTCTGCTCCTTCCTCCTTAACTGGCTCCTGAACTGGAAGTTCTAGTGGCAGAAAGGACAGCACCCACGTTCCCCTCCAAGTCTCTTCCACTGGACCCTGGCTAGAGCCTGAGCTCTCCTGCCTGCAGGCAGCCAGCTGCAGTGGGAGGCGCGAAGAGGCCCTGGGTTTCTCTTCCTTGGAAAGGAAGCCCTGCCCACGGGCAGGGCCGGAGCGGCTGCTGTCCAGCGCTGCAGTGGTGGGGAGATGCAGAGCTGCAGCAGGGGGAAGGGCCTCTGCAGAAACGATGCAAACCACAGGCTGTGCCGCCCTCTGGCCTTGTGCTTCGGATATTTAAAACATCTACATGCACACATGGCTACGGATACCCTCTGCCAATCTGGCTAGTGCAAGGCGGTGGGCAGACACCTATTAAAGGAATACACGTACCTAACGGTAGGAGGAGAATAACGAACGCCAGGGAGACTGCAGATTTGCTCAGAAAATCTCCACACTGGGAGCCGGTGGTTTACAGGAAGGGTCAGGAAGAGCCTGGCTTGGGGGGGGGGGGCGGGGGGGAACGGGACTAGAGGAGTTCAGAGAGCCCCGCGGGAGCTGGGGCGCCTTGGAGCCGGAGGAAGGTGTGCGGGAATTGAGGTGAGGGAGAGGGGGCAGGGCCCACACCCCAACACCGCGGTAGAGCCCAAAGGTTTGAGGGGCCACAAGAGGAGGGTATTGGGGTGCAGGCCCCGGGTGACCTCCGCCTCTTCATCTTCACAGCCTGTTTCCATCCGAAGCCTAACTAGGTCTCCTCCCTGTCCCAGTGGAGAGGAGGGGGTTCAGCTTTGCGCCACAGGCGGATGAAAAGGCCATTTCTCCATTAATTCTAATGAGCAAGGGTCAAATAGTCGGCTCAGTGTCAGTCTCAGGGCCCACTTCCAAGAACTTACAACCGAAGCAGGAGGTTGCGCGGGAGGCAGCTGAATGACCTTGCGTCCAGCCACCAGCGCAGCCCACTAGCGAGCGAGCGTGCGCGCCTGCGGGTGGGGGCAGGTCGGGCCAAGCCACGCACCTGCAATCGTCAGTCACACATACGCGTCCCGCAGGGCCCGTCACTGAAGGACCCAGGCAGGGGCCGGAGCGGCGTCTGCAGGGGCTGCGCGCTCCAAGTTCGCGCCTCCCGGGGACGTGGAGGGCGAGGCCCCCGCCCCTCGCCCCTCGCCCTTCCCAGCTTCCGCCCCCTCGCACTCACTGGCGCAGCGCAGCACCGGCCGCAGCACCTCGCGCCCGCACAGGTCGCACCAGCCGGGGCCGCCCCGCAGCGCCAGTTCCGCGAAGCGGTGGCCCTCGCCTCGCTCCGCCGGCACGCGGGGATCCTGCGGCTGCTCGAAGATGCTCCGCACGTCGCGGGGCCGGGGCGCTCCAGGCCGCCGCCGCAGTCTCTGCTGCCGCCCGGGCCGGAGAGGGCGCGCGGGTCGCGGGGCTCGGGGCTGCGACTGGGGGTCCCCCCGGGCAGCCTGGCGGTCGCCGCGCCCCTCGTGCGCCCCAGGCGCGGTGGAGAGGGCCGCGGGGACACAGCGGCGCGAGGAGCGCCCGGAGGGCGGCGGCGGCTCCGGGCCGCTCAGGCTCTGCAGATAACGCGGCGGCTCGGAGTCCAAGAGCAGCGCGTAGGGGCGCTGCCCGATGGCCGGGGACGCCATGGCCATGCCCGGCTGGCGGCTGCGGCTCCTCCCGAGCCCGCCTGGAGAAGGGGCGGCCCCAGACCAGCAGGCCTTTAAAGGGGCCGCAGCCCAAGGGGCGGGGCGGGGCGGGGCGGGGAGACTCCGGAGAGGCGGGGAGGGCGACTGCCGACGACCCACGGCCCACGGCCCGGGCTGGCAGTGGGCGGGCCGGCGCGAGTGCGGATCTGGGGGCGTCTTCAGGAGCAAAGAGCCCATTGGGGCGCTGAGGATTCCGCATAGAAAGGCTCCAAACAACGCAACTCCGAGGCGCCTGCTCTGCAGGGCCCCTCCCCTCCCCAGACCTTCGCGCACCCCAGCACACCCAGGGGAGGGCCGGAGGGGAGGGCTTGGGACCTGGCTGCGCACGGGGCCTTTGCAGGGTCCACGGCCTGGTCCCTGCCTTGGGTGGTGCTGTGCTCAGGCGTTTGCTCGCCCATTCCTGCTGTCCCTCCGGGCCGAGCCCTGCGTGGGTCGGAAATGCCCCTATTGCGCTTGGGCTGCAGCGCCGAGTCGCGTGACGCGGGGGACGCTTCGGAGGCGACCTCGGGGAGCAGCCTGCAGCGCCCACAGCGCAGTCCTCGTGTGCAGCCTTTTCCGCGGGTCGGATTTCCCCTCCCTTAGGGTATTCCTCTTTCCCGGAAGGCTGAGCGATGGTGATGAAGGTCTCGGAGAAGCCCCCCCCCCCCCGCCCCGCATGGGCTGGCGAGCTTTGCCTCCTAAGCCAACCCTCCTGCCCCTTAGCTGCGCCGGAAAGGCCAGCCCCCTGTGTACCTGCTTCGGTGGATTCACCTGCGGGACTCAAAAAGCCCTTTCCTGCCTCCGCGGGACCCACTTCCTTAGGCTCTGCTCTCACAATCTTCCAACAGAACCAGGCATTTTCTTTGTGCCCTGGGTCCCTCAAATTATGTAGCAGGTCGTGAGCATCTCATGGATGGGGAAGCTGGCCGAACTGGGCTCCTGGGTCTGTTGAACCTGTTAAGGACCAGCAATGACCCGGCCAAGGCCCACTCCAGCCCCATTTTAACTGTGAACTGGACTGGGAGCGGGGAGGCCAGTAGCTGCTGCTGTGGTACTTTACACACACACACACACACACACACACACACACACACAATGTTCACACGTTTCCTCTTAAAACAGGGTTTGATTGGGTTGACTTAGCAGAAGTCACCTGAGCCAGCTGAGAATACAGTCCCCTATCTGAAGGTCCTGCTTCCTGGTTTCAGCCAAACAATGATTGAAAATATCTTGAAAAACAATTAGGCCTGTAACTGAACAGGTGCCCGAATTCTTCCTCATGCTTATTCCCATAAACAATGGGAATGTAACTATTTCCCATATAACTATTTACCTACATGTCCATCGTACTAGGTATGTAAGTGACCCAGTGCCCAGGTTACATGCAAACACTACGCATTTGATAGGGGACTTCAGCATCTGTGGGTTTGGGTATGGGGAGTTGGGACTAATCCCCCACCTCTGCCCAACCTCCTGAATGTGGAGGGAGGACTGCAGCCTGAATTCCTCTAGACCTGAGTCTCCCCATTACTCCCAGGCCAGAAGCGGCTCTCCCCCTATTGTCTGGTAGGGGAATTCTCACTTTTGCTTTTTATTTTTCCCCTCGGAGGTAATTTCTAGGTCATTCCTAAAATTCTAGAGTCCAGGGGTCAGGGAATTCCCAGCTCTGTTCCATGGCTTTGCCCTCAGAGTGGTCTTCCTTTCAGACTTGTGGTCTCACCCGATGAGGTTGTTCCCAGGGGCTGGGGAGGATGCCTGGGGCCTGCACCACAGTCTCCAAACAGAAGGGGCTGACCTGGGGAAGCTCCACGCAGCGCCTCTGCTCCATTCCTCCTCCTTTCCTCCCTCTCCCTCCCTGTGGTCCTCAGACCGTGCCATGTGACACAGTCACCTGGAGAACTTGTCAAAGCGCACCTTCCTGGGCTCCACCTCCGGGTTTCAGAGTCAGCTCTGGGGCTGGGAATTGTGGTTTTGCATTTTTAGCAAGTTCTCAGGCTGTTGGTCTTGCTACCCAAGAGGCGCACTTTGAGAACCACTCTGTTCCGTTCCTACAGAGCTGGTGAACTTCAGTGGGAAACAGCTGGGAAAACCCAACAGGGGCCGTTCCTCAGGGCTTTCTGCTCCATGTGCAAGAGAGAAAGTGCATTTGGTTCCTATGCCTCTCATTCTCACTGCTCCCAAGTTTTTTGCAGCCAGTTCTCTGGGCCCTGTTGCTGGACCCTGTGCTGCAGGTTGCTGTCCGCACCCCATTTTCCACCCATCTCCAGGAGGCCTGCAAGCCCTTAGGAAATCACTCCCTGTGTGCTGGGTGAGCCCAGGGCTGGGCCTGGCTTGAGCTTGGGGTTCTGGGACAGAGCACAGCACTGGAAGCTCAGTTTTGAGTCATTCGGGGGATGACTGCCAATGATCAGCGCCCCGGATTCCCTGGACAGAGAGGCCTGTGGGAGGGGCGCCACGGTGCTGTCCGGATCCCTGCTCTCTGAGCAGCACAGAGGTGCTCGCTGGTTTCTGTCTTCCTGCTGCAGCTCTGTTAGGCCCAGGGGCCATAGCTGCTCACAGCACTGAATGGGGGAGGAGGTGCAGAGCCAGAGCCCTGCATTCGGCATCTGGGGTGGGAGCAGGATGTGAATGGAGGTAATATAACTTCATGTAACAAGCCGGAAAGTTCCTCAAGTTTATCTTAAGGTTCATCTCCCTGAGCCAAGAAACTGAGGTCAGGGGAGAGAGTTGCTCCCCTAAACTCAAAGGAGGCTCCCTGCGTGGGACCAGCCCCTTTGGATGCTATTTTGCCCGTTCCCTCTTCCTCAGCATCCCTCCCAACACACACACACACACACACACACACACGGAGCTCTCCCCCCTTCAGCCGGAAGGAAGTGCTGAGAAAACCTCTCGTCCCCTGCAGGCCAGAACACTGGTGCCAGACTTGACAATTACTGGGAGCACCCAGGCCGCATGGGTAAGACTGCAGCGGCTATGGGAGTGTCCCCCTCGGTAGCAGATCCTCTTGGCCCAGGGCTGTTGGCTTTTTTCTGACTCACTGAAGCACAGTGGGCATGCTGCTTTTCTTTTTGACCACGGGGAAGAATGATGACATGGAATTTGTGGCCAGCGTGAGGTCACTTCAGAGGTGGTCCCAGAGCATGTTGGTCTCCCTACCGGGTGGGTTATTTCCAGGCCGTCCCTCCACCTCCCTTCCTTGCCCTCTCTGTAAGGAAAAAGGAAGAACAGAACATGGCCTGATTTTTTTTGAAGGGGAAGCTTTTGGTCTTGTTTGGCTTTGAGGCATTTGAGATTGGCTGAGATCCCCAAAGCTTTTAGGGAGCCCTGGAGACCCTGAGGATGTACAACTGCAGAATTAGAATTACTGCATCGGTCAGGACAAGTTGGATTACGCTGCAGTAATGAACAAGGTCCGAATCTCAGTGGCTTTCAGTAACAAAGAGGTTTCCTTGCTCCACTGCATGTCCTGTGCAGGGTGGCAGGGCCACATTGCTCATCAGAGTCACTCAGGGACCCGGGCTGGTGGCAGAACCATCCTATCTAACCTGGCCAGTCACTGTGCCAGAGGGAGATCCAGAAAGCAGGAGAACCTCCCGTTAACATTTCAAATGCTCAGTCACCTCCAGTCAGGACTGGCCAGGGCCAGTTACATTGCTCACTCCCTGCCCCAGCCAGAGGTGCAGTCCCACCTTGCCATCAGGTTGAGAGAAGAGCTGGAGACGCTTGGCACTAAGGGCCACTGCAGTGTTCACAGGCATGGAGCAGTAACTCACTGAGCCAGCCAGTGCCAGCATGGGCACCACAGGTACAGCAAGGAAACAGACAGGTTCCGGAAGCTCCTGTTCTACGGGAGAGCCACATGACAAGCAAACAGGTGTCGCATGTCGGTCAGGTCGTAAGTACTTTGATGATACGTAAAGCACATGAAAGGGGTAGAAAGTGACAGGGGCTACTTCCAGCCTTTTGCACAGCCAGGAAAGGCCATGCTAAATGTGGTGCCAGCGTTTAGGCATTTAGCCCAGAGTGAGTGGAGTAGGTCCTTTGTCCGAGCAGGAGAGTCCTAGACTGAGAGCGCACTGGGCCCTGCAGCCCTACCCTTCCCAAACACTGTGTACACGAGGGTGCAGAACACGCCTTCCCAGGCCCTGCTGTGCAGTGTGTGCACTGCGAGACTGTGACAAATGCTTTTGGGAATTAAAACGTGCCTGTAAAAGTCCCCCTGGAGACGTGAAGTGGCTGGGCTTGCTGATGTACAGATGAGAAAACTGAAGGCTCACAGAAGCCGTGTGACTGCCCAGCAGCGTCACTCGCTCTGATCCTTGAATTTGCCTCCAGGCTGCCCGGCCAGTTCAGGGGAGCAGGCAGTGCTCTGAGCCTCTGATCCGACTCATGGCTGTAGTGTGAAGGCACAGCAAGACCTTTTCCCAGTTTCCTGTCCCGCTCTGCTCTCCAGGTCTGGCCCAAAGGCCAGGCCCTCCTCAGAGCTTTCCTGGAGTCACTCGATGAACTGGTCACCGCTTCTTCTGGGCCCGCAGATCCCTGCGGCTATTTATGTGAGTCACATCTTCCTGACCCTCGGCAAATAGGAGGTGCAAGGTTAATGAAACCAAGTCAGCTGTGGGCTCGAGACCAGTGCCTAGTCTAGCACGTAACTGTCACTGTTCCTGCCAGCCATGGTCCCAGCGCCCCGAGCGGCACAGTGAGAATGAAGAGGGAAGAGTGGTGCCGGGGGCCCACGGTGACTCCTGCACATCCCTAAGGCGAGCACTGGTGGGCTAAGGGCCAGCTGAGCACCACTTGCTCTCAGGCAGGTGGACTTTCTGTGTCTCCCACCTCGGGTGATCCGGGACTCTCCCGGGTCCTTGACCGTACTGGGGTAAGAAGGGCAGATGGGAAGGGAAGGCGAGCAGGGGTAGGGACTCCTGAGAACTGTCGCCCTGCAGGGTGGGGTGGGGTGGGGTGGGGACTGTCTTCCATCAGTCTAGTGGCGC